ATTAATCACTAATCCTTCAATTTAGAAATTAATCACTAATCCTTCAATTTATCAGAAAATTCACAACTACTATCTAAATGTGCGTTAAAGATAAATAAATCCACGTTTCTCATAATTGATTGACTCAAATTAAGAAAACCAACTTAAAATCCTATGATTATAAAGTTATATGTCCAACCAAGTCAGTTGGATTGTCCCAAAAATCATTAATGGTCATCAAGTCATCATTAATTCTATCCTTTTAATTTTTGTCTTATAAGCATGACACGTTGCACTCATAGTTAATGCAATTCTGATTCTTAAAATTAAATTCACCATTCCATGGCTAAATCTTGAGTTTAATTTCTTAATCAATCTTACGGAGAAAGACACTTTATTATCACCGTTAAATCACGATTATGAGGTACCGAAGTTTTAATAATCTTAAAAAGTTGTTATTATAATTCTATACGAAGATTGAGAAAGACAAGTAGAAGTGGATGAGCTTCAAAATATAATTTCTTCCAAAAAATAAAAAATAATTTCAAAATATAATTCAGCGTACAATTGGGCAGGTGAATTGAATGTTGTGTCAGACCTTCCATTTCCTGTATACTTAATTAGATTAATTCCCATGCTCCTAGGTAAGATTGTTGCCCTAGTTTTAGGGATGTTGTCACAATTAATGTTTGCCACACCACAAAAAACAATAATTTAAAAAAAAAAAATTACGTTTAAATTACTTTTGTTATACGGAACTAAAAATAATGTGCATGTAACATATTATATATTGTTCCTTAAAATTGACCGCCTTAACCAATTCCATGTGTAACGTTTTGGTCCATGTGTAACATTTTGGTGAATTAATATGTGGGGTCTTCGAATAATTGTAGTGCATCAAAGGGCATCCAGCCTAAGAAGGATCTCGACAATTCTTTTTATTTTTATTTGGTTGTTGTCTTTCTATATTGGCCTTCAATATAATTCCTCTTTAAATAAATATAAGAAATAAAATAAAATGTGTGGTGATGCTCTTAAAAAGCCATAAAAATCTTTCAATAATAGGAATTAATAAAGGCACATCACCTCAACAGTATTATGTGTAGAGTATAGATTGCGAATTGTTGAAAAGACGGCCGATCACAAGTGTACACTGCATTTATTGACTAATATGTATAATTAATCTCTACTTATAACACTAATCATTTATTGATGTTTATTAAATTGACATTTATTTAACTGGAGAATTAAATTTGGAATAAAATTCATAGTTAATGGATCATTTATAGTTAAATTAAAAATCGAGAATGAAAATTGATAAAAATTAATAGTTAATGGACCATTTATGGTCAAATTGAAAATCGAGAATAATATTTAATAAATATCAATAGTCAGTGGACCCTTTTTAAAATTGACTATTGTAAAAAATGTGTTAGTGTTTAATTGTAAAGATTAAATGTTTTTCCTATTCCAAAAGCTATATATAGCTAGAAGTGATCCCACATTTAATCAAACTTAGAACTTTGTACTACGAAGCTAACTGTCTGACCAACTTCGTTGGGAGTTATGTTGTTCCCAATTTTACTTCTTTATACTTGCCTACTAGCAAGCTAATGTCACGTTTTGATAATAGAGTGTTAGACTTGATCCTTCGGACTTACTGCCAACTTAAAATTTGTATTCTCATCAATTGACATTGGATATAATGTGGTCGAGAAGCCTCACTTAATATATTGGCAGCAAGTGAAGGTTCGATTCCTGTCACGAATATTGACGGTTTGGGTTTAGCTAGTATGAGGTCCACATGCGCAAAAGTATACAAAATCTTGAGGCTTGAAGTTAGATTGATTTCATTTATCTTCTGGTCTCATAAGTTTGGGGTATGTTCATAAGATTCATGATATAATATGATGAAACCAAGAAAATAGATACAACTCAATTCTAATTGAACTAAAATTTAATGTAACTACAAAATATTTGGAGTTTTTCACCATAATAGTAAAAAAAAAAAATCATATCGTTTGCTGGCTAGCTAGGTAGAATAGTTATGTGTTGATGCCGGCGAGAGATGGGATGTGATCACGTGAGGAGCAGCTGATAAGGGCCGCGTTGCTTAGCTAGGCTAATGATTTTATCGTACGACACTTCACCTTGCTCCAACGTTAATTACTTGTGCCCGCAAGCTTCCATTGCCTCATCACCTATAAATACTACCATCTCATTAGAGTTGCCACCATGATATTGTAGAGAGAGATAGAAAGAGAGAGAGAAACAAAGTTTCTGATCTCAATCAAGAACTCTGCTACCAATTAATCTTTAACTATCTCGATCTGTTGAAGAAGCTAAGGGAGTTGAGGTTTGAGTACTTTTCCTACATACCCATTCAAAGAGATGGCATTGTTTGATCTTCATCACCCATGGGTCTTTGTGTTTGGAGTCCTTGGTAAGTGTCTTCAATAAACTTTCATTCTTACCTTTCTCGATCCATATACTCAGAATGTAAATCTTTTACATTTTTTTTTTAGTTAAAACAAAGCATATAATTCTTTTGATTCTCTCATTATTTCAGGTAACATTGTATCACTTCTTGTATTCTTAGCCCCAGTGTAAGTTGATCCACAAACTTGTTGTTTTATTAACAATAATTATCCTTAAGTTGCATGTTGTAATGAAAGTGCTAATATGATATATATTGTTGTTGCATGCATGCAGGCCGACATTTATAAGAATCTATAAAGCAAAATCAACCTTGGGTTATCAATCCGTTCCCTATGTTGTATCCTTATTTTCTGCTATGTTGTGGATGTACTATGCTTTCCTCAAGAAGAGTGCTCCTCTTCTCATCTCCATCAACTCCATCGGATGTGTCATCGAAACACTTTACATCTCCATTTTCCTTGGTTATGCTTCCAAAATCGCTAGAGTAAGTACGCTAATAATTATTAATTAACCTTAAATGTAAACTAAAGACAATTAATAATCATTAGTATGTAGTTTTAACTAACCTGGCCTTTTTATAACATTATATTATACAGCGTCAAACCATGAAGATGTTGTTGTTACTTGTTGGAGGGCTCTACTCTGTGATTGTGTTGGCCACAATGTTCCCTTTTAAGGGCACCCTTCGTGTCAACATTGTGGGATGGATTTGTGTGGCTTTTTCCGTCTGCGTTTTCGCTGCGCCTCTTAGCATTGTGGTATATTATGCACTTAATTTCCTTTTTTTTTTTTTTTGTGTAATTAAATTTGTTTTATAAATGTATATAAATTAAAAATTATTGTTATTGCATGATGAATGCAGTTCAAAGTGGTGAAGACAAAGAGCGTAGAGTTCATGCCGTTCAACCTGTCTTTCTTCCTTACGTTGACTGCAGTTATGTGGTTAGGCTATGGCTTGTTGTTGAAGGACATGTGCATTGCTGTAAGTACACACTATTACGAGTGGCAGTAGACATAATCCTCGTACCCATGCATACATGTCTTTTAATTAAGTGCAGACATTTTTATGGGACCCACATAATAAAAAAAATTTATAAAATAAAAGTGAGAGTAGAATTTAAAAGTACAAAATCATATATATATATATATATATATATATATATATATATATATAGAGAGAGAGACTTCAATTACAGTAAACCCTACCTATTAAATTCTTTACTTAATTAACAAGGTTTTGAAATGGTGCAGTTACCAAACGTTTTGGGGTTTTTATTGGGAATCGTACAAATGGTGTTATACGGAATCTACAGAAACCAGAAGCCACTTGAAGTGGCGGAGGAGAAAAAGGGCGCCGTGCCAGAGCTCGTTATAAACGTGGCAGGGCTAGGGGAATTATTGCACTCATCTGTGGAGGATTCTAAGACGACAGCCATCACCGTCAGTGACGCCGTTACTGAAGAAAAAGCAGAAAAGCCAGATCAAAAGAGCAAAGAAGAGGAAAAAGAAGAAGAAAACCGCGCCGGGAAAACCATGATGATTACGGCGCCACAGCCTCTGCCGCCGGCAAATCCTAATCTTGACGATAATGTCCTCCAATTCACCCACCCTGTGAATGCGCAAATTGAGCCGCCGTCGGCGGCCGTCGTCCTCTGTGCTGCTTAATTATATTATTATTATTATATTCTTTATCTTTCCTTTACATGGCGTTTGGTTGGGATAAGGGAATTAAGGTGGGAAAGAATTGTAATTCGGTGAAAAAATAATTAAGCGAGAATTAAATTACGTAATAATAAGCTATTAATTTTGTTTGTATAAATTAATTTCTAGCTAGCTACCACTTATAATAATTAACATCTTAATTTATGTGACTAAACAACCCAATATAATGTAATAAAAGTTGTATTATTAATTAGTTAAACAAATCAATGTAATAAAAGTTGTATTATTATTAGTTGCACCGAAGTGATAAAAGAAACCCACATCCATTTTCAATGATGTGCACGTACAAGATAAAAAATCAAAAGGAAGTAAACCAGTCAATGCAACTTAATTTGTTGTTACCTACTCAAGTTAAGGGTTTGACTAATTTGGTAACTTCATTGACTAAAAAATTATTACTAATTTATGTATAGTTGATGCATGGTTGAAGTCGCATATAAGTATAGTACAAATTAAAATTTAAAGGCTAGCAATGAGTCGCGGGGAAGCACTAATAATTCATTACCTTAGCTTGTGAATCGGGTCAAGTGTCAAACTAACGCTCAACGACAAGTCTATTCTTCTTCTTCCTCAATTCAATTCACGTAACAATTTTTCATCATTTCACAAAACCAACGTTGTTACGTATGTATGTCGTCGTCCATGTCCCTGTCCCTGTCGCGGCCTATCCATTAGGAGTTTCAGTTTCCATATTTCCATTAATGGATGGTTTCGTCGTCGATTATTGCGTTAATGTGGTGTTGATGATTTCATTCCAGACTGATCTGATCTTATCTGATGGAGTATTTCCGGTTTACCATCCAGGCCAGTTTGAATACATAATAATAATAATATTGAAATCGATCTGAAATATATATATAATGGAAAACAGCAGCTCGGAAGAGACAGAAAACAATAATAATGAAGACACCGTCCAACATTTGACGAAAATGATAGAGTCGAGGATCGCCAAGTACGATAATGGCAACTTGTCGTCCGGCGAGAGCCGAACCAAGATTGGTAAAATGACGGAAGAGGAATCCTTCTTTTACCAGGCAGTAACAAGGTTGTCAAAATTGACGGAGTTTCCCTCCGCTTCTTCCTCCTCCTCCGGCTCTAGTTCAGTTTTACAGCGAGCCATGGCTTTCTTGGAAGAGGAATTTCGCATCATATTAGAAGATTCCCGACATGATGACGACGTTGCCGCTTCCCCAGCAGTCAAAAACGGCACCGTCACCAATTCCAATCGAGATGACGGCGGCGGCGATTCGCCGCCGCCAGAAGAGGAGTCGTATCAGCCGTATCCGCCGGAGGTGGTGACGAGGATGAACCGGATCGCACACGTCATGCTCTCCGCCGGCTACGAGACGGAATGCTGCCAGGTGTATTCCATTTGTCGCCGGAATGATTTCTCCAAACAGATAAAAAAACTTGAACTCGAGAAAATCAACACCGAGGATATACATAAGACGAGCTGGGATTGTTTGGAAGAAGAGATCATGAAATGGGTGAGAGTATCCAAAATTTGCTCCAAAATTCTCTTCCCGGCGGAAAGGGAGCTCGGCGAGGCTGTCTTCTCCGGTCATCCCATGATTTCCCGGAGCCTCTTCAGCAACCTAGCACGCGCCGTCGTCATTCAGCTTCTCGACTTCGCCGACGCCGTCGCCCAGACCAAACGCGCCGCCGAGAAGCTCTTCAAATTCCTCCTCATGTACGAAACAATCCGGGACCTAATCCCCGCCATCAGCGACGGCTGCTCCGACGACTTCGAGCACGAGATCAAGTCCGAGATTCTCGCAGTGGGAGACAGAATCGGGGAAGCCTCCTTAAACATTTTCTGCGATCTTGAAAACTCAATAAAAAACGACATGGCCGCGAGAAATCCGGTCCCCGGCGGCGCAGTTCATCCGCTCACCCGTTACGTCATCAACTATCTAAAATACGCCTGCGACTTCAAAACCACCCTCGAGCAGATATTCCATAAACACGCAAATCCCGGCGAAACTTCCGACACCGCCGCCAAGCCAACATCGTTGTTTTCGGCGCAGGTACAAAACATCATGGACCTCCTCGACGCAAACCTGGAAGCCAAGTCGAAGCTCTACAAAGACCCATCACTCCGCCTCGTGTTCTTGATGAACAACGGCAGATACATATTACAAAAAATCAAAGGCTCCCCGGAGATCCACCAAGTAATGGGCGACAAATCTTACCGGAAAAGATCGACGGTGGTGAGACAGTTCCACAAGAACTACCAGAGAGAAACGTGGAGTAAAGTGCTGCAAATCCTAACCCACGAAGGATTGCAACACCACGGTAAAGTAGCCATACCCGCCTTGAAAGAAAGGTTCAAGACTTTCAGCAACATGATGGACGAGATACACAAATCGCAGAGCAGTTGGGTGGTGAACGACGAGCAGCTTCAGTCGGAGCTTAGGGTTTCCATATCGGCGGTGGTGATTCCGGCGTACCGGTCCTTCGTGGCCAGGTTTAAACAACATCTTGATGGTAATACTAAGCACCCGGAGAAGTATATAAAGTATCAGCCTGATGATATTGAGACATTGATCGAGGGATTATTCGATGGTAATACCACTTCAATGAGTAGGATCAGGAAGAATTAAATTAGCTAGCTAGTATAGATCCAATTTCTCTTCATTTCGTTCCTCAACACAGCTAAACAACGAAATGGCCGGATATATGTATCGTTTCTTTCTCTTTTCTCCTCTTTTTGGTTGATCCATGTATCTTCATCAGCATCGATCTATAAAATTTTGAAAACTGCTTTTAGGAAAAAAAAAATGTAAAATTATAGTTGTAACTTACTTAGCTTCTTATGTATGGCAGCATTTAATTTTATATAACATGTACATTGTAACATATAATATTCAAATAGTGATTATATATACATGCAAGCTAAGATCATATTGGTGACTAATAATATTTGTGAACATCATATATAGTATGTATAAATATGATCACACTTGATAGGATATATATCTCCCGGTACCGACGACCTGTACGTCTATGGACTCGTTTATAGTCGGGTCGGATCAAACGGTTCAGGACCCGGTGCACGAGTCAAAATCAAAGGTGACGGTTCAACTCCGAAGCGGGTCGTCAAACCCGCCACCTTAGCCTTATAAAAGGGCTTTTAACCCACAAAGTGAGGGGAGTCCATTCTCTCCACTCTCTTCGCCCTCTCTCTATGCCTCTCCCTTCTCTCTTCATACAGAAGAACAAAAGAACACCATTAATAAAATAAGCATTTGAGCTATTTCTCTTGCCTCCTCCTTGTTCAGACATTGTTTACATACACATATAGTACATACATCCTACGAGAGGAATTAGTACTGTCAAGTGGGCTAATTGCACTTTGACTTATAGTTTAAGGCCTATTTGACTCTTATATCCCTAATAATAATAAGAAAAAAGTGTCAAATTGGTCCCCTAAGTTGAGTGGATAGTGCAATTGGGTCCCCTAAATGAAAAAAAGTTTCATTCAGGTCCCCCAAACCTGTAAAATTGTTTAATTAAGTCTAAGTTGACTTGTTTATCAGGTTAAATGCATACGGTGTTGACACTTGTCCTTATTTTATTTTTTATTAAAAATATTATTTATTATAAATTAATTATAATAATAATAATAATAAAAAAGAATAATAAATTAAAAAAAAAAAAACAGTTGTGGCCGTCTAAGGAAGACGGCCATGGCCGACGAAAAAAGATGGCCATAACCTTCGTCTAGATTTGAAACGAGGGCGGCGGTGAAGGCTGTAGCCCTCGTCCAGATCTAGAAGACGGTCATGACCGTCTTCCTTCGTCGGCCATGGCCTCTTCCTTAAATAGTCGTGGTCGGACGACCATGACTGTCCTTGAAGAAGGAAGACAGCCGGTGGCTGTTTTTTTTCTTTTTTCTTTTTTTTTTAAAAAATTATTATTATTATTTTAATTAATTTATAATAAATAATATTTTAATAAAATAAGGACACGTGTCAACATCGTATACATTTAACTTGATAAACAAGTTAATTTGGACTTAATTGAACAAATTTACCGGTTTAGGGACCTGAATGGAGTCTTTTTTACTTAGAGGACCCAATTGCACTATCCACTCGACTTAAATTAGGGGGCCAATTTAACACTTTTTCCTAATAATAATAAAAAAAAAAAATTAATTAGTGTGAATGAATGTTATGCCATTCATTTATGTTCGAGAAAAAGTTTTTCGTTACGTGTGTGTGTGTGTGTGTGTGTGTGTGTGTGTGTGTGTGTATATATATATATATATATATATATATATATATATATATATGCTAATATGCTTTAAGAATGGTATTATACAATATTTTGAAGAAACATACTCCTACCATAAGTTATGTATATGTATCAACTATATACTTTCTTATCTTTTTCAATAATATATATATATATATATATATATATATATATATATATATATATATATGCTAATATGCTTTAAGAATAGTATTATACAATATTTTGAAGAAACATACTCCTACCATAAGTTATGTATATGTATCAACTATATACTTTCTTATCTTTTTCAATAATAATAATATATACACATATTAGAGTTATATCACTACTGGAAATTCTGAAATTTCCGACCACCTGAAAATGATCTTAAATTAAGTTGATACCAAAAAGTCCAAAAAGTGGTCAGAAATAGCAACAAAGGTTTTTCCGGATACCAAAAGTGGTCGGAACAAGACTTTCAACTTGATTTATGATCACTTTCAGGTGGTCGGAAATTTCAGAATTTCCAGTAGTGTATGTTGGTTATTTGTAAAATATAAATATCAAATTTATAAAAATATTTTACATTATTATTAGTGTAAATATCTAAAATATAAATAAATTTAAAATTTTAATATATAGTATTAATATTAGACACCAATTTTTGCACATCGCGCAAAAAAAATACTAGTAATAATAATAATAATGTTCAATTATTCACCGATTTCTTTGTGCTTTGTTCTTTGAAAGATTTTTGAAACCTTGAGGTGGGGAATGATTTCAAAATTGTCGTGCAAAAAGTGATGCGAGAGGAAATGTTAGAGAACTTGATATCTGTATGATTAATGATATGAAGAGTTGCTAATTTGACCGGATGGTTACAGGTTTTGAGGGTCTTTCATTTTGATTATATATGTTTAAAGAAGTCCTATCCAAATGTAATAAAGTCTGATTATACGCAAATTATGCTGTGCAACCGAATGCACCTTGCAAGGTGCATACGGTTGCAAAACGGCGCCGTTTTGGTTAAAAAAAAACGCGTGTTTCATTTAAAGAAGAAATCAGGTTCGATTCCCAGCAATAGCATTTTTATATATCCAGAATTTCATAACTATATATCCACAATTTCATAACTATATATCCACAGTGAATGAATGAAGTAAAAATCCACAATGAATGAATGAATGAAGTAAAAATTCACAATGAATGAACTAAATATCCACAATATATGATTGAACTAAATATCCACAATGAATGAACTAAATATCCATAAATTCATAACTATATAACCACAATTTCATAACTATATATCCACAATTTCATAACTATATATCCACAGTAAATGAATGAAGTAAAAATCCACAATGAATGAATGAAGTAAAAATCCACAATGAATGAATGAATGAAGTAAAAATTCACAATGAATGAACTAAATATCCACAATATATGATTGAACTAAATATCCACAATGAATGAACTAAATATCCATAAATTCATAACTATATAACCACAATTTCATAACTATATAACCACAATTTCATAACTATATATCCACAATTTCATAACTATATATCCACAATAATGCTATTGCTGAGAGTCGAACCTGATTTTTTTTTTTAAAGTGAGACGCGCGTTTTTAATCAAAACGACGTCGTTTTGAACCGTATGTACCATGCGCATGGTACATTCGGTTGCACAGCATAACTATTGCTGATTATATGATTCAGTCTAAATTATCCCTAACGAATCAATTTTGACTAATTTTTATTGAGTTAATTCCAGCAATGGTCCTCCGACTATAGTGATTTTTCAAAATTAGTCCCCGACTTTTAATTTGGACACTTTAGGTCCCTTGACTTTCAATTTCTTTCCAATTGAGGTCCTTTCGTTAGAATACGGTTCATTAGACTTTAAATGAAGGGGTAAACTCGTCCTTTCACCTACCTATGTATTATTCTTCGTATTTCTCCCTTCGTATTTCGCTGACGCACACACGAGTAGTCAGCAAATGGGGAATGACGAGGAACATTTTAGGGTTTCGACTAAGATTATCTTCATATATATCACGTATACAATGGAGAAATTAAATACTAAGAATAATACATAGGCAGGTGAAATGATGAGTTTACCCCTTCATTTAAAATTCAATTAACCGTATTCTGACGAAAGGACCTCAATTGGAAAGAAATTGAAAGTCAAGGGACCTAAAGTGTCCAAATTAAAAGTCAAGGACTAATTTTGGAAAATTAATATAGTCGGAGGACCATTGCTGGAATTAACTCAATTTTTATTGATACTAGTATTTGCCCCGTGCGATGCACGGATAAAAATTTATAAGTATTGTTGTAATGTTATATATGATACATAGTAGAATTAATTTTATTAAAAATGTAAGTTTAGTTATACATTGTAATATTTAAATGTTAAAGACAATATATGACAAAAAGTGCATTCATATTGCTAACCTCATTTGCAATAATGATCTTACAAAGTTAAACGGACAGAGAAAGACCCGGACCACCTCGTGGTTTACACAAAAAAAAAAAAATAATGATCTTACAAATCTATTAATATGCATTCACAGTTAGGCAGAAAAAATATTTCCCTACTTAATTTTACTTTACCTAACTTTCTTTGTAAATAAATTATTAAAAAACTAATCAAAATTACAAACTATTAAAAAGTTAGTACATATTATATAATCAAAATTGATATATAATACTCGTAGAAATTAATTCATGATTACATGAATTTATAAATTTGTACGATTTTTTTTTTTATCTTGCATCTTTGTGTTGTATAAACTCAACAATCTCTTTCATATATATATATATATATATATATATATATATATATATATAAAGACTTATGATGATTATTAAGTTCCTAAACCTTTGATATTCCATAACTCTCAAATGTACAAAATGGAGGGAAAAATTTTTTACCTTGATTCTGCTATATTATATATAGAGATGTTGGTGCGACATGCTATAATAAATACTTATACAGTGGACTGTACCCAAAATGACAAAAAAGTCTAAGCCCGAAATCTCTAATTGACCAAATCTTGAAACTGGACTTCACTAAATGGGCTTAAGTTTCTCTAAAATGCTCCACAAGATTCTAGAAGAAGTTGCAAAATATCTCCAGTACCTTCTGGAAATCTCCTGAAATTTCCCTCCATCAATAAATATCCCAATTTGAAGATTTGAATTCCCAGAATTGAAAGCGATAATCCAAGCCTGAAAATTCGACAACAATGGAGAGCCCCTTCTACGGAAGCTACTGGTCCCGACCCTCTCGCCCCCGTTATCCTGTCTATCCGTTTCAACACAAGCCGGTTGATGAAGCGCCGAAGTCGAAGATCGTTCAGATTCCGGTCCACTTCGTACGGCCGGAGCCTACCCGAGCCGCCGCTGCGTTGAAGATCCAGAAGGTGTTTCGAGGATTTCTGGTGAGGAAAAGCATGAACCGCGTGATGTCCGTAGCGCGGGAGGTGGATGAAATTGAGCGGAGAGTTTCGCAGAGCGAAACGGTGGAGGTGTTGCGGAGAGACGAGAGGGAGAGGATCCGCGTCAACGAGATGCTCATGTCTCTGCTCTTCAAATTGGATTCGGTTCGCGGCGTTGATTCGGGAGTTAGGGTTTGCAGGAAGGCTGTCACCAGAAAGGCCATTGCTCTGCAAGAGAGAATTGACGCAATTGTTAACAACTCCGATCAACAAACTGTAACGGATAATGGCGACATTGAAGCTGCTAAGGAGTGCGATTCTCCTGATCCTGAGCAACCTGAATCCGTTGATCAAACACCATGTATCGACGATTCATCTGAGAGTGAACTTGAAACTGCTCAAATTGATAGCGATGGTGTTGAAGAACCTAACGATTCTCCAGTAGAAGCTAACGGTTGCGGAAACGTTGAAAAATCCGAATTGGAAGATGATGAACAATCAATGGGAGGGTTTATTTCAGAGGTAACAAATCCGAAGACAGAGAATGAAGGAGCCGAGGAGAAAAATGGAAGCGGCCTGGAGATTGAAGAGACTAGCAACAGGGAAGATGAAAACAACAGAAACAACAGAGAATTGCTGGAGAGGATGATGGAGGAGAATCGAAAGATGATGAGCTTGATGGCACAGATGTCAGAGAGAAATGAAGCGCAGACGAGAATGCTGGAAGCGCTAACGCAGCGTGTGGAGCACCTCGAGAAATCTATCGTCTGCGATAGGCTAAGAAGGAAGAAGATGAAGAAGAAGCATACCCCTTGAGGCCTTGATCGATGCTTATATATACACTCATGTTTTATATGATATGATGTATCTCTCTTAAAATCCTTGTAGATTGGAAAAGCATATTTCTGGGAAAATTCTATCAATCCATTTTGCATTTATACACAATTAAGAAAGCCATTGGCCATCAAAAACTTGCAGAATTGTTTTACCCATAATCCACTCCACATCAGAAGATGATAGTTGGGCTTTCTGGGCAAGGCTATACACTGCCTCTTTTGCTTCTTTATAACCACATTCCTCTACAATGAAAGGGAAGTCACTGCAAATAGAATCAATCTAAATCAGTTCCAATTTTGATTTAGGATTAACCATCGAAATCTTTTAATACGATGTTCTTAATTCTTACCTTCCCCACATGACCCGATTGGAGCCATAGTTGGAGACAACTTGCGACACAACTTGGGATAGATCCTCGTACGGATATGGATTTCTTGACACCCTGAACAAAGCACTCAACTTTACATACACCTGCCAACAACAATTTTGCAGATGAGGGATGATGTTACAGTGTTATACAATCTACAAGTTCAAACATTTTTTCACCAGAATTTACCTGTGGAAACCTAGATAGCTTTAAGAATGCAGAGAAAATTTGGTTTTCCTTTTCATTTCTGCAAGATGCAGGCAGCGTTAGAAACCTTAAACGACCTGTTTATCAAAGAACTAAATTTTGCTACTTTCAATTCCCAACTGAAAATTCGTCGAAGGCTTACACTGGGGGCTTGCAGAAAGCTACATGATCAAGCAGAACAACAGTCGAGGGAAACTCGGTGCAAAGTTCCTCAATTTCCGAGAGATGCAGATCAAGACCCTAAACACATGCCATTAGCATATAAACAATAAAATTGGATCAAGTCTGAAGCTTTCTTGAAAAAAATGTGAGAAAGTATGAAGATTTTTGCACCTTCATGCACATGAAACCCACGGGTACTCCAAGCTCTCCAGCTTTAGAGAACATAGCTTTTCCAACTCCATTTGTCATCTGAAGAGACAAGACAGCATTATATGTTCCTCGTATAGATATTATTTGCGTTTTATGTTACAAGAGAATGAAGAGAAGCTATGGATTCGAGGTATATTGTCAGAAAGGATTCTCTGTAGATTCCTCTTCTGTAGTACCTTTTCGCCAGAAGGCCACAAGTATGGATTAAAGCGAACAGCACGATAACCATCCTAACATGAACACAGTTTGTATATATCAGCATAATTCCCGTAACACGAGCAGTGGAATCTGATAACTTTAGTTCTTCCCAAACCTTTAAAATAAGATCTTCGAGCTGCTTTATTCCGCTTCCATCTTCTGCTGGATTAGCGAGGCAACAACCAACAAACTTCGATGGGTACTTCTTCAATACACTGGACAAGAATTAACTTTATATAACACAACAACCTCTGAAACCACAGCTAATGAACCACACACATTAACTTCTGCTGTTACTACCGAGATATCAGGCTATAAAGCAACCTCAAAAGTAAAAAATACAGAAAAGCGAAAGTGCATCACAGAGACAAGAATGGAAACCTTATTCGGATCGAACATAACTGACCTGGTAACATAAGAGTGATCGAACTTGTGATTGATGGGCTGAACAATAAGTGCCCCATCCACATCTGCTTCTTTCATGCACTGCTCAAACATAGCCAGCCATTATGTGCAATCACAAACATTCCTTAAATTTTTTTATTATTATTTTTTTAATATTAATCAATCTGGAATGGATTATAAGAATTAAGGAATTTGGCTACTCAAATACTGTTCTATCAAAATTGATTCTTTCTTATTCCCCAGTGCTGCCAATTATTCTAAAATTAGAGCTAAAAAGATTGCTATTTTTAAGGTATATGCAGTCAGCTCCATGGACATACCTCGAGCAAGAAATCGACATGCCCACGTAAACTAGGTTCTTGTCCTGGAAAATATGGAAATTTTTCAGCGGCCTGAAACAAAAAAACCAGATTAGAAATACCCGTACATTTAAATTACCGTTTGAAAACAATAACACCATAAATTACATTTGTTCTTGATTAGTAGCATTACCTCTTGAGGAGATGCCCAGACATGCAAATGGGAATCAATAACTTTCGCAATTTTGGACGAAGACTCGCTCGAATTTGCTGCCATTTGAGTCGCCTGCACTTTCAGCCTTGAACTAGCCACTGATATCTTCTTCTTCCACTTGGAAGTCTGGGTAGAGAAAGGAAGCCAATTGCAGCCCAGTGGCTTTAGCGCATTAACCCTGATAGCCATGCCTGCTCTGTGGACCAATCCTCGTCTATCTTAATCATGATTTTGATGTGAATTTTAAATAAATAAAACTAATCCAAGAATCTCAACAAATGGTGTCGTGGTGTAGTTGGTTATCACGTCAGTCTAACACACTGAAGGTCTCCGGTTCGAGTCCGGGCGACGCCATTTTTAGTATCCTGCACTTCTGCAGTACTATATTTACTTTTTTTTTTTTTTTTTTTTTCCCCTTTATTAATTCATCTTGTCAATTTGGCCATTTGGGTCGTCTTCATCCATCGGGTTGTAAAGAAGAAGAAGAAAGCGAAAAATCTCTGAAAACGATGGCGATTCCGTTTGCTTCATTGGTACACTTTTTTTTTGAATTTCCATTTTAGAACTCGAACTTTGATCTATGATTTACGGTTTCTGTGTCTACTGGCAGTCGAACGTTGGCCTTTCCGGTCAAGGAAATCTCTCTCCTATCAAAGCTAAAGCTTCGAGCTTTACGTGCTATTATCCGAAGCTTCTGAAATCTACATTGGTAACAGACGCCGCAGCAGCAGCTTCGCTATCTTCCTTCTCCTCATCGAGTTTCTTTTCCGGCTCCTTGCGGCTGCCAAAATCCCCAAATTTTTTGGTTCAGAATAATGCCCGCCGTCGACTCTCTCCCGTTCAAGCCACTGCTCAGGTCAGCTCTTTAGTTATTATTATTATTATGGCTAAAACATGATTATTGGATTGTTAGAGTTTTGGATGATAGAACATCTGATTGTGAAACCCAACATTTCATTCTATTAATTATCTATTTCTTGAAATGGGAAAAGATTGCAGCTTTTGGCAACACTGGAACATTATGGATTTTTTCATTGAATTCAGCATGATCTTGCTGAGTTCTTGTGATGAAAGGAGGCATTCGTGCTTATACTATAGATTTTTTTCAGTATCTGTAGGTTTTGTTTCATAAAATGATCTTAAGATTTTTGCACTGTGCATTTGTGGTTGATCCAGGTGGCAGAACTTCAAGCAAAAGTGACGAACAAAGTGTATCTCGACATAAGTATTGGGAATCCTGTGGGGAAGCTTGTTGGGAGAATTGTGATTGGATTATACGGGGATGAGGTGCCACAGACAGCTGAAAATTTCCGTGCTCTGTGCACAGGTTTTTTTTTTTTTTTTTTTTGCTTGCACATTTGATGCATTACTTGATACCCTATGATGCAGTTCTTAGATTTTTATTCATTTATGTATTACTCCGTATTTATTTTTAAAAACTTTAATGGCTTTCTTCTGATCAGGAGAAAAGGGTTTTGGCTTCAAAGGTTGCAGTTTTCATCGCGTTATTAAGGACTTTATGATTCAAGGAGGTGATTTTGAACAGGGAAATGTACGCCTTTCTAAATGAAATTTGTTTCTCTTTTTGTGCTTTTCTTGCTTTCTTATAAGGTTTGGTGCATCTAATTTTGCTCGGCCGACATCTTTGCTTGTCTAATGTGCAAACCAAGAATTTGCTTGTCTATATTTATGAGGGATTGTGCATCTTTAATTGTTTAGTGGTCTAAGATAAATTGCATGTTAATTCAATATATATCTCTTTGAACTTTGTGTTGCAGGGAACTGGTGGCAAAAGCATATATGGCCGTACATTTAAAGATGAAAACTTTAACTGTAAGTTTTAGACCTTTTCCGTTTGAATCACATTAAAACGATTGTTCTCTATTCATCCTTCATTAATATAAATATGCATACAGTGGGTCACGTTGGGCCTGGAGTGTTGAGCATGGCAAATGCAGGCCCCAATACTAACGGAAGCCAATTTTTCATATGCACTGTGAAGGTATGTATGGCGGTGGATAAATAATTGCAAACGTTTCTGTCACACTTCAATATTACCTAATCTCGGGCAAATCTAGGTTGTCTACCATTGCCTATTCTTTATCATATTGTAACTGTTGTGCTTATTGATCTTGCAAATTTTAAGAGGGCTATGAATTTGAATTGTTTTCTATTTATCCACTTTTGATCGGGGCGCTTATGTTTTGATGAATTGTAGACACAATGGCTGGATAAGAGGCATGTCGTGTTTGGACAAGTTGTAGAGGGCATGGATGTGGTGAAGTTAATCGAATTGCAGGCGACAGACAGGGGCGATCGCCCTAGTGAGAGGGTTGTCATCAGTGATTGTGGAGAATTACCGATGGTCTGAGCTGGGAAGGGAATCTCTGGTTATCAAGCGTCGTTTAAGGTTTAGTTTTGCAACTTAATTAGTTTGTCGGGCAGTCAGTCATAGATGGCTGTACCATAATAAGAATGAATGATTCCTCAAAGCAAAGATGACAAATTGTAGAGGGCATCTTGATCATCACTTAGGATTATCTTGATTCAGTTAATGTATAGCAGATTGGAATCTGGGATTTTGTCATACATACATACACACACAAACCGCAGGTTGTTGTTGAGCCTCAGATGATGGTTTGTGTAGTGGTTGAATGTGCATGATGCAGCCGCAGCAGCAATTTCAATGCTTTGTCATTTAGCTGCTACATACGACATGGAACGCAGAAACCTCAAATTCCGTGAGCTTCATAAACCTCACATGTAGTCCTCAAGGGTATTTTGATTTTTCGATTCTTTATTTTGAAAAAATGAAACCATTCAGTTTAACACTGAAGTTGGTTTGGTTTTGATTCTGATTTGGTGCAATTTGGATTGCAATTCTATTTGAGGATTTAATAATTAGTATATATATTAGGTGCCAACAATCCAGCGAGGGGATTAGTCACTGTGTTCGACAATGAAAACTCTGGGTTAGGGATGGCAACGGGGCGGGGGCAGGAAATATAATCCCTGTTTTCGAAACTCCGACCCCGTCCTCGTCCCCATCTCGAACTGGGAATCGAAAATAGTCCTCATTCCCGTCCCCACGAAAAATTTGACAACTCCGACCCCGTCCTTGTCCCCATCTCGGACTGGGAATCGAAAATAGTCCCCATTCCCATCCCCATGAGAAATTTGACTGGGACGGAAATTCTCCGTCCCCAATCAATTTTTAATCAAAATTTTAAATTAGTGTAATTTTTAATTCTAAAAATTAAAAACTTAAATTGTATATATATATATATATATATATATATATATATATATATATATATATATATATGGAAGGGATCAGGTAGGTGCGGGTGTCGCTCTCCGTGCGATTGCGGGTGGACTCACATTAAGCATTACACTAGCGCACTTTAAATATACAACAGACACACATTAAACACAAACAAAATACATTCAGAACATGAACTCACGCACCTTAAACACAAAACTCACACATCTTAAGCACAATCCTCACGCACCTTAAACACAAAACTCACGCACATTAAGCAAAAAAGCACATGCACCTTAAGTTTTAACAACTCACATTAAGTACACACTTACGCACATTAAGTACAAAACTCACACACCTTAAGCACACGACTCATACACCTTAAGCACAAAACTCATGCACTTTAAATTTCAACAACTCACACTAAGTACACAGTCACTCACATTAAGCACACAACTCACGCACCTTAGACACAAGACTCACGAACCTAAGTACAAAACTCACGCGCATTAAACACAAACCTCACGCACCTTAAGCACAAAACTCACGTACATTAATCACCCGCACAACCGCACGGGGAGCATTCACCCGCACTGGAACTTAAACCTATATATATATATATATATATATATATATATATATATATATATATATATATATAATTTATTTTTAATTATAATAATTTTTCGGTGACAGGACATAGTGGGACGGGGAGAGGTATCCCCGTACCCGTTCCTGACGGAAAATTTCATATATTCTTCGTTCCCGTCTCCGTTTTCCTTTAATTCTCTCGATCCACATCTTCGTTGGGACAAGGATTGGGAATCTTCTTCGGAGATGGGGCAAATTGTCATTCCTAATCCCCAACCAAGGCTGTCATATTGACTTGATAATCACTACCTATTTATGCGCACGAATTTAGCTCAATAGTTCAGCATGTAGTATTTAAAGAAAGAGCTAAGATTCGAACTTCTTTGAGCCAGATCAGCTATATAAAATATAAGTGCTTTTTTTTTTAAACCTCTTAAGCACTTTGCATGGTTGAAAGAAGTTGGAAGTTGAAAAATCCTAGGTTTCCAGCAGTCAAACATTCAAACCTAGTTCTTCTACTAAAACAAATATTTTAACGAGCGGAGCTTTAGCCGAAATTAAAGGGAAGTTGGAACATGCATCAACTCATAATAATATCTCAAGTGTTTTATCATTAACAAATTAATTAAAGGGAAAACTGCAGCACGCTTGCTTACATTAAAACACACAAATTAAACCGCCATAATCATATCCTTTGCCTATGCTATATATATATAACATCATATCAATGAACTCTCTCAAATAAAATTCAAACAAAAACCGCATCAAAATTTGGTATCAACCCATACAAATCTTCTGCTATGGAGTATGTATGTATGCATGTATGTATACAAATCCAAACTGCAAATTAAACCACAAACCAATTAACCTCACCTCGTCAAAAACATTAATCAGATGTATGTATAGATGTTGAACAACGTATTACATACCTATTTAATTTGCGACTGCGCTTTGTGGCAACATTAAAGAACCAAGCTAGTGTTTTTATGGCGGCCAACATAGGAGCTGAGGAAATGGAATATAATTAATCCCAGAACATCACAGAATGGACTTGCGTCGTCATCGTTTTGCTCTGAGAATCCTAGAAACCGTTACAGACAGACAGACAGCTTGGGTTCCTTAATTAGATTATTGCCACTCCGGATCTGGTTGGGTCGGCTATAAACTGAAATCCACACTGCACAAACAAAAATACTTTTTTTTTTTTGGGAGGGAGGTTTTAGAGCTATCCAGCCTCACCTTAATTCTACTACTGTCCTGGTCCCTGAGATTCATCCCGACCAGTCCCAGGATGTTGTTGCGGCTGATGATTCATCGGATTATTTCCTGTGGTCTGTCCCCCTATTTGCTGCTGGTAAGACTGCGGGAGTGCTTGGAAGTTCACACTCCCAATCCTTCCTTCCTGCGATAAACCCAGCTCCAAACCGGTGAAGGTGCCCGGATTGGGGAACTCGAATCCATGGAAACCGAATTTGGGTATGGAGTTCAAGATTTGGTTGCCGGAGAAGCCGGGGGCGAAGCCGGGAATAGAAGGCCAAGCTGCTGCTGCGGCGGCGGCGGCGGCGGCGGCGGCGGCGGAAGAAATCTGGGGTCTGCCGAGATTATTGTTGCCGCCCATCACGGCCCAGTGGCTTCTAATCCCGGCGAACTCATGCAGACTGGCGGAAACGGAAGTTCCCTGTTCGGAAACAGAGGCCTCTGCGGCGGCGGCGAGAGCAGAGGCGGGAATAGTCCCGGTGCCAGTGGCGGCGATAATCGCCGGCTCCGCCTGCTGCAGCAGCCACTGCACCGTCTCTCCGTCAGTCTTGTGACCCAACTCCCGGGTAAGCTGAAAGATCCTGGCGGCACAGAGAGCAGGCATCCGAATTCTCCGACCTCGGCCATCAACCTTTTTGTGTCTATCCTTGTTAGAACTCCTCTTAGGGGCAACCTGAAGCTTCTTGTTATTGTTCTCTTGAGGTTGAGGTTGGTCTTTATTATTAGTATTAGTATTCTGGGAAGATAGAATTTGGAGGTCCTTGATTTCTGCTGGCTTGTTTCCGGCCATGTCTGATTTGGGGGAAACGATTCGAGGTAGTGGTGGGTACCCCCAGGCCACCCCCAACTTCTATTGTATCACTTCTAGTGGGAACACTGCACTGCAAATGTTTTACTAAATTATTATTATTTTCTAAAAAAACAATTAATGGAGAGGATTGATTGATGAAGCTGACGTGAAAAGTCATCTCCAACACCCTTTCACTGTAATTGTCAATTGTGTTGTCTTGGCTTCTTCTTCAAATTTCAATCACTTATTATTTTTTTAATTCTATATTTATCTACACCCTTTCAACCCTTCAATATTAATTATTAGACTTAATGTCATCTAAGGTCCTCTGAGTTTGATAATTTTGTCACGTTTAATTTTAAATTTTTAAATTGACCACCCGCGGTCTTCTGAGTTTTGAATTTCGACCTTCCGTAATCCTTTTGTTAACATATGTCGTCTGCGCCATGAAAAATAAGGGACAATACAATCTTTTTATTTCAAGCCCAGCTAAAATAACTCATTTCACTCAATAATTAGCTCTAATCTCCGATCAAACTCATCCATAAGATATTGTAACACATTTAAATCAAAGTTTCAAAATATGAGTGATTATCTAATTGACATTGACTAATCCCTTAGCATTGTGTACGATTCGAAGATTAGGGCTAATTGTTGAGGGAGATGAGTTGATTTGGATGTGCTTGAAATAAAAAGACTGTTTTGCCCTTACTTTTCATAGCGCAGACGTCATATGTTAACGGAAGGACTATGGCAAGTCGAAATTCGAAACTCGGAGGACCACGGGTGGTCAATTTGAAAGTTTAGAACTAAACGTGACGAAATCACCAAACTCAAAGGATCTTAAATGTCATAACTCTAATTATTAGGTAGAACTCCAATTAAACTGTTCGGCCAATTAAATTAGTATAATTATAATATGCAAAAAACTTGTGTGTGATCCTCTCACGGGTCAGATTTTTGATTAATGAGCGAGATCAAAGATTCGACCCATTAATCAAAGATCCGACCCACGGTCTCACACAAGTGTTACCCATTATAATATTTCAGGTTCCACTTAACTCTCATTTAGAGTTGTTTACTCTTTTTAGTTTGAGTCGATCAACTTTTGACAATTTAAGTTGGTTTACCTCTTTGTGGTCTTCTGTCAGCTATTGTCACAATACGAGTTTTACTGCATATATATATTCTAGTAGTTATAGATTTTCTCATAAATTAAAAAAAAATTAATTAGTTGGGGACAACTTAGTTAAGTTGGTCAAGTTATTGGCTTGGTAACCACAATGTTACAAGTTCAATTCCTAGTAAGAGTGACCTATTAACCTTCTTGGCTTGAGTACAACTTTAGGCAACCTAAGTTACTGTAGCATATGTTTCTTCTCCCAAGGTTGAATCCCCAACCCAAGACCCGACAGAGAATTTGAGAGGATGTAAATCACAATAACTCAATGACTCAGCAGACAGGGCCAAATGTATGGCTTAGCAGATTGAGTCAAATGCATATGCGCACAAGGGATTTGTCTACTTTTGGCATATCCCCACAGGCCCACATTGTCGCTCTCAAGATTCAAACATTGATCCCTTCTCCCAAATACGATCTATTTTAGCCTATGTTGGTTTACTCCCTTGTGGTCATTTGCCAGCTTAGATCACAAGGCATGATTTTCACATTACGCATCCTCGGATAGTAGTTACGAATTATCTAAACACTCAAAAAATATTAGTTACTTCGATTTGACTAAACCATATATTATATTGTTGTACGTATTAACCTACTACTAAATGTACAACTCACCTCATCACTACTACTCCTATTATATACTCCGTATTCACTTCTTCGATCTCACAATGATATTATCCGTTTCCACTAATTAAGTCTTGATAGCTCTAACAGCTCGTTTGGTTCGCTGAAAAATATTTGAAGGGAAATGGAATTGAAATTCCATGAAAAATAAATTCTAAGAAAACAGATTCCATTGTTTGGTTGGTGGAAAAGAAATTACTGGGAATATGAATTCCATTGTTTGGTTGAGTTTGGAATGGTAAGGAATAATGAGTATAATGACAAATATAACCCTACACAACAATAATAATATAATAATAATAAGAGTAATTAATAAAGAATAGTGAGGGTAAAATTGTCATATTAGTTTTCCATGAAAAAAGTTTTCCATGGAAAACAAAATACCTAGCATAAGCTAGGAATTTGTTTTCCTTGTTCTTAAGGAAAACATTTTCCAATGGAAAATGTTTTCCATCCAACCAAACAATATAAAACATCATTTTCCTTCACTTTTAGGAAACATTTTCCATGGAAAATGTTTTCCATCCAACCAAACACCCCCTAACGGGGCGTTTGGTTGGAGGGAGGGAATTATGTGGGAAAGGAATTGTAATTCCATGGGAGTTGAATTACTGGGAATAAAGTGGGAATTTAAATTCCAGTGTTTGGTTGACAGGAATAAAATTACTGGGAATTTCAATTCCAATGTTTGGTATACATGGGAATTGAAAGGGAATAAGTAGTATAAAGTCAAAAATGTCCATTATTGTTGTTAGACATATTTTAGATTAAAAAATGAAGGGGTAATTTTGACTCATCACTATCTTTTTTTCCCAGGAATTAAAATACCAGGGGGGGACATGGGATTTTAATTCCATGAAAATGGGGGAATTGCAATTCCATGGAATTGCAATTCCCTCCAACCAAACTACGGAATTTAATGGTCTTTGAAATTAGGTGGGAATTAAGTGGGAAGGGAATTTAAAATCCCTCCAACCAAACGCCCTGTAAAGGAAAACAAAGCATTGAAAGAAAATAAATAACTCTTTTTGATTGATTTATGAATGTTTAAAACAATACATGGAATACCTATATATAGCACAACATCACTTTTTAAATTAATACATCAATTAAATATAAATATACTAATGGAATGACTAATTATTATATTCTCCCCATTTAAACATAGATTATAATTAATCTCCTAATTACCAACATAAGATAATATGCATTTTCTGTAAGATTTTCCCTAATAATATATATTGTATATTATATATTAGGGTCTTAATTAAGTGGTGCAAGTGAACTAGGTTTAAATGGTCTGGTTAGACTGAATAACTAAAAGTTGTTAGTCAACCATGTGCCTAATATAAGTCTGGATTGATGGGATACAGGTTTATGGATTAGATAGCACATTCAGTTACGGTACTCAGACTGCTCAGTAGACACCAATACACCATCTAGGGTTCTGAGTCTAGTCTGAGGCAAAACATGACTAACGGTTTACCGTTAAGAGGCAACACAACAGGAACGTCAACTGTGGCTGGAGATCAACACGGTTATCGCTTCCGCTCATACGAGGTCAGATCCCTGTATACTAATATTCAGTATAGTTAAGCTATTTAGATCTAACATTTTCTTGATGTGGGGATCAGCGCTAATCAATGGTGTATCAATGACAAAATCGTAGAAATGTCCCAATTTGAGTAAGACTACCAAGCAAGGAAGTTTTCTAATTAGGAGAGCATAGTAGGCTAGTAGCTAGTTGAGAAGATTTTAATTTAAAAAAAAAAAATAGAAAAACTATATCTTCTTTTCTTAATATAATTATAAAACATTACAATCTTATAAGGATAGAAAACTCTCTCTTTAATTTGATCAGGTCTTAGCTGCATAGACCTAGACTTGGACAATAGCTCTTGGAATAACTTTCATATTGGTAATAGGTTAGGCATAAAGACCTGAGTCAAGTAGCTAATTCCCTAATAATCTATGAAAGCCTTAAAAATGATGATTGAGTGGGTGGAACATGTTTCTCGTACCTTAATACTTCCATGTCATATCTTAATGTCACAATTTCGTTTCTTGCCAATACTTTTTTGATCGCTCTATCATACAGAATTGCTCTAATGTAACTATCCAATATGCACTCTCGAATAGTGACTATGTGCTTCTTTTGTAATCCTACTAAATCTAATGAGGTATTATCTAAACAACTATAAAATAAAGAAGTATGATTAGTATTCCAACTAATAAAATGAGGTTGATATGAGATGTTTCACTGCTGGGGAAAAAGAGGGTAACTTTCTTTGTCACTTTGAAGGTGCCTTGAGATGACCGGTACGTAATTGATAACCATTATCTCCATCTTATTATATTATTATTAAGACATCCGAGGTTGTTAACTTGTTTTTCATTTTTATTAACTAATATAATTAATCTCTGTTCCTCTTTTTCTTATTTATGCTTTGATTGCTGTGTTTGGTTGAAGGGAATTTAAATTTCCTTCCCACTTAATTTCCAACTAATTTCAAAGGTTACAAAATTCCCTTGTTTGGTTGAAAGAAATTACAATTCCCCCATTTTCATGGAATTAAAATCCCATTGCATGTCCCTCCCTGGGATTTTAATTTCTGGGATTTTAGGAAGAAAAAAAGATAGTGATGAGTCAAAATTACTCATTCCTTTTTTAACCTAAAATTAATGCCTAACAACAACAATTAACATTTTTGACTTTATACTACTTATTCTCTTTCAATTTTCATGTATACCAAACATTGGAATTGAAATTCCCAGTAATTCTATTCATGTATACCAAACACTGAAATTTAAATTCCCACTTTATTTCCAGTAATTCATCTCCTATGGAATTGTAATTCTTTTCCCACGTAATTTCCCCTCTCCAACCAAACGCCCTGTAAAAGGGAGAATGGTTACTACACGGCACACACATGCCAGTTACATGTATATATGGATAATCCCAACTAAGTTAAACTAATCAGAAAACTGACAACGGTAAGTTTTCTGTAATTTAAAGTGACATATATATTTTTTTGTTTAATTTACGGTAAAGTCTGTATCTGTTATTTGAAGGTGTCTGAAATATACCTATAACCTTTTATTTGAGAGAATCACAGTCATATTACTTGACCATGAGGTCTTTGGCTCGTATTTTATTTTGAATAGTATAATATGTATGTGTAGAGTGTAGCAAGTAATAAGAAAAAAAAAAAATTAATTGACATCCTTATCATTGCAAACTGCAAGCAAGTACATTAAGGTATGATGATGATGGCTGGATAATGGTTATCCATTCCCT